GGTCATTCAGCACCCTGGGGACCGGTACCGCTGGCGCCATATTGTTGACAACCCACTGGAGGTCGGCGCGAAGCTGCTGGTTCACTATCCTGAGTTGTCCTGTTCTCTCTGCGGCGGACAGCATTATGAGATTTATCATGATCTGTTCGTCACCGAGAGACAGAACAATATAGGGAAGTGGTCACTGACCTTGGGAAATATCCATCGCATCAACGGTAACTGCACGGATCAGTTTACAGCTCACGACTCACCTTTTCCTTTTCTTACGCTTACTGACGAATCTGCTTGCTGTCGCAGCTGCTTCCTTGCGTACTTCCGCACTGATCACCCCCATTCTGAAAGATCCTGCTGTTGCTCTTATCTCCACCGGTGGGAACCGCGAAGAGTGGATCTGCACGCAAGTCTGCTGCGGGAAAGCAAAAGGGAAAACTTTCATGGCTGCCTCAGACCACATTGCATCTGCATCTCATCTGCTGAACCTGGAGAAGCTGGGTACTGCGACCAAGTTCACACTCGACAAGATGATCCTCAGCAATCTGAAGAAGGAGTATGGGGTCTGAGTCGAGCCGAGCAGGGTGTTTTCATTGCAATAGCCGTTTGGGTGTCCGTTGTTGGAGTAGTTCTCGTTACCAGCCTGTGGATGAAGCGGGGCTGCCAGATGGTGAATAAATGAGTAACAAAAACTTCTTCTCCTTAGCAGGCCTGAATGTCAACGGCCTTGGCGATCTGACAAAGCAATCTAGAGTAACCTCATGGACAAGAACAGCAGCAGACGTACTGATTCTCTCGGACACCAGACTGCCTGACGACCATCCTTACTGGAAGACAACCTCTTTCTCCACAGTCCTAACCACCCCCCCAACTGCTAAAGCGGGAGGTGTGGCGGTGCTCACCAGGAACCCATCTATCACCATACATAAGATCTCCACTCACCCTTCTGGCAGACTGATAACCGCTGAAATCAGTCGGCCCGGTCTCACTTTAACTCTTTTAGCCACATACTTCCCTGCTGACGCAACTGATCGTAGCTCCTTTTTAGCCAATGTCATCGGCCCTGCCATAGATCTTGTTCCACCCACAGTGCACGTTGTCCTGTTCGGGGACCTGAACACAGTGGAAGACCCGTTTTTAGACAGGACATCACAGTCAGGATCGTCACTAGAAAACGACAGACTTATCTCGCGATGTAGCCGCTTTCAATTCTCGGACGCTTTCCGCACACTGCATCCAAAGCTGAAGGAATTTACCTTCTACTCCGCCTCCAAAGAGTCTAGCTCCAGGATAGATCGCGCGCTCGTCTCTTGCTCCTTACTTCCGCACCTGGAGATAGCCGCACATACCATGCCAGAGGAGTACATCTCAGATCACGGTTTCGCTATTAAAGTTGCTTTCAAGGTAAAGGCCACTTCTCACCTGGGCCCCGGAATCTGGAGACTGCATGCTGCAGCCATCGGCAGGCCAGGGGTCAGGAAAGCGGTGGAAGCTGCGCTTGCCAAGGCAGAGGCAAGTGGCGAGGAGGATTTTGAGCTATTGCTGGGCAGACTTATCGCGGGCCTGCGGTCGTATATGAAGGAGGAGAGGAAAAGGGTCAAAAAGACCACGGCGCATCTGGCAGACGTGGTGGCGGAGCTTCGGCAAGAGCAAATGCGGAACCCAAGCTGCCAGCGCGCTAGGGATCTACTGTTGGTCAGGGAGACGCAGCTGCGGGAATACCATGCGGCGAAGCGGGACAGACTTCATCTGATGGCGGGTACGAACATTGAACTGGCGGGAGAGGTGCTGTCCCCTTTCCTGTCAGCGAGGGTAAAGGTCAGAAAGCAGCGCACACAGATTGCAGAGCTGTCAGTAGGCGGTGTGACGGTGACAGATTCCAAAGAAATTCTGGCGGCGGCCACCAACTATTTCACAGACCTTTTTGGATCGGACAGTCGCTCGACGACGGCCATTTGGAAACTATTGCCGGGGAAGAAGCTGGGCTCTGACGCAGCGGCGGCACTGGAGGCGGACTGGTCGGAGCAGGAGGTGAAACAAGCTTTCAAAGCCTTGGCAAACAACAAATCGCCCGGGAGAGACGGTCTTCCGAAAGAGCTCTTCGAGCAGAACTGGGATGTCTTGGGGGGAGAGTTCCTTAAGATGGCGAAAAGTTTCTCAGAATCGGCCTCGCTCCCTGCAAGCGTCAAGGAAGCGGTTACCATCTTGCTTTATAAAAAAGGAGACAAAGACAAGCTGGACAACTATCGCCCCATCACCTTACTCAACTTCACCTACAAGGTTTTGGCGAGAGTTGTGGCGAACAGGATGAAGCAGTGGCTCCACTTAGTGATATCGGAGGAGCAGTACGAATTTATACCTGGGAGGAGGATCTCTGACGCGATTGGCGTGGTGGCTGACGTCGTTGAAGCAGCGAAAAAGGGGAACGAAGATTGGTACATGCTCCTGGTGGACTTCCGTAAGGCTTTTGACTCGGTGTCCCGGAGTTTCCTCTTTACGATCCTGAGAGATATGGGTTTCCCGGAGAGATTCGTAGGCTGGGTGGAAGGCCTGCACAGAGATACAAGGACAAGGTTACTAGTCAATGGCTGGCTGGGAGAGGCGGTGGAAGTAAAATCAGGGGTGAGGCAGGGGTGTCCGCTTGCTCCATACCTCTTCCTCTGCGCGGTGGAGCCGCTTGCGCAAGAAGCGTGTAGGCGGAAGCTGGGCCTCTGCAACAAAGCTGGACAGCGGTTAGTTTACCTGGGTTACGCGGATGACACAACACTGTTTTTGGAGGGAAAACGCCAGATCGCCAGGGCAGGAAAACTACTGAAGCAATTTGCAGAGATGTCAGGTCTGGTCACCAACAGGGAAAAATCGGTTGTCATGCCGCTGGGGCATAATCTTGGAAGGAGACCTGGGACTTTGGGGGGTTTCAAATGGGCAAAGGCAGATGAAGTTGAACGCCTTCTGGGGGTCTGGATCACCCCCTCCGGTAGCAGCGAACCGACATGGTTAAGGGCTTTCGAGAAAATTACAGTGGAGCTGATCAAGTGGAAAGCGCTTTTCCTTACGATTGCGGCAAGGGTGGTGATCATAAACTGCTACATCACGCCTAAGGTAGCTTACCAGGCTCAAGTTTACCCCCCACCGGAAGAAGTCTGGAAGAAGCTGATGAAGTTGATTCATAACTTTCTGTCGGGGAATAACGCGTCGGCGGATGGAGATTTTGTGCTGTGGAGCTGGGATCTCCTCTCTACTCCGCGAGGTGATGGGGGGCTCGGAGTACTGGACCCGGAGGTCCTCATGGCTTGTCTTGCGGCCAGGAGAATCGCTGGACTCCTGTCGGAGGGGAACGGCAAGAAAAAAGAAATCATGCTTAAAGCGGCGGGGCTCCCGATGGGAGAAGACACTTTCACGGCGCACGAAAAGGTGTTGAAGCACTGGCCGGGACACGGGGAGCGGTGGAAGCAGACCTGCGAAACTTTCCTGAAATCGCCTCTCGCTGACACAGGGAAAGTCAGTAGCAAGGAGGAGGTGGCGCTGGAAAGAATTATTTTCAACAGGAACGTGCTGCTGAACGGCACTAACCCAGTGGGCGGGCAGAAGGAGGCGAAAGGGCTCTGGGATACTCGCATGGGGGACCTGGTAACCACATCGCCCTCAGGCGAAGCAGCAGTTAAGGACATGGATGTCTTGGAAAAAGAGTTGAGGGGCAAGGACTCTGCTCGGCTGGCTCTCAAAGCCTTTGCTGCAGCCCCGGAGGAGTGGAAAACCCTGCTGATCCCCAACGGCACGGCTGGAGGAGGAGGGGAGAAAGAAGCGGTTACAGCGGTGACAGCAGGGGGGTGTCGCGGGGCCACGGCTTCAATTTTCCGGTCAGCAATTTTTGACGGAGAGCGAGCAGCTTCTCTGAAGCGGATGAGGGAGGTGTGGACCAAACCCGATGCAGTCCTAACGAAGCAGGCAAAGTGGTCTGGTCGATGGTGCGGCAAGATTGATTGGCAGCGAATCATTCGCACACGCAACTCGCTGGCCATCCCGAGCCGACCGAGAGATGTCCTCACACGGGTGCATAACCTGAACCTTCAGGTCGGGGAGCGAGTTGATTTTCTCAGCTGCAAGCCAAAATGCCCATACTGCGGAGTGGAGGAAACGCACGAACACTGTCTTTTCTCCTGCCCGAGAATTCAGCCAGTTGTCTCAGGGCTCCGTCGTGCTCTGCGCATGCTCAATCCAGGGAGGACAACTGCCTCGCTGGGGGACCTCTTGTTCCAGGAAACCGGAACGGCGTCGGATTTCCCGGAGGCTACCCTCACATCGATTACTTTTCATCAGCTGTGGGTGGAGAGATGTGAAGCAACTTTCCGAGGGCAGAAATTCAGAGCCCGGAGGGTTCTCAGGAGGATTGGGTCGGCTTTTAGGCTACACGCGAGAGTGTACACGAGAGCAATGGGTGCCAAAAGCTTGCGGCCAGGGACATCAGGGAAGGGAAAACGGGTCAGGAGTGTTTTCGAAGCGGAGCAAAAAATGCTGGCGAGGATAAGGGAGACAGGTGACAAAAAATGGAAGTGGTCGACAAACTTCGCTGCTATCTGGAACAAGCCAAAGCGGGCGTTCCTGCCGCCCTAGATGCATTACTGGGCAGTGCATGGTGCAGTGCCCTCACGCTCAGTTACGACTGCTTTTGATGTATGCATTGTCCTCATAAATGTATATGTCAAAAAAAAAAAAAAAAAAAAAAAAAAACCTCGAGATTAGCAAATGAGACTGATTTCATCACTGCAGTGAAAGTAGCTGCCAAGATAACTGAACAAATTTATGCGTTTTTTAGGTGTAAGCAACAAGCGCGTTATCCTCCATACACAACATGATGCACCATGTGAGAACTACATGAATGAACAAATTGAATGCTCATTAAAGGCTAACCACCCAACCCAACCACTCCAGATAGATATAACATCAAGACATCCTTTACTCCCCTATCACCCACCACCTCATGTATCCTGACCAAACACAATGTTGTGTCACCATTCCTCAACATGATCAGCAATGAATCCAGCACCCAGCCGCCCGTTGGTGGAGCGGAGCTCGTTCATGAGGCGGCTCCAGTTGGAGCCGAGGCTTCCAACAAAGTAATCGCACTGAGCAGCAATCAGCACGCTTGCCAAGCTCACGGCCACTGACTGCGCCCACTCATACTCACGCAGCCCTCCCACAGCTTCCTGCTGCCGCGCATTCGACGAGTAGAAGAAACTCCAGGAGAGGTGATCCGCTGCTCGGTCCACGTTAGCCTGCGTGGTGCAAGGAGAAAAGGCAGATGGTGGGGGAGGACGCAGAACGTCTGGCAGGAACAGCGGCAGGAAGGGATTGAAAGTGGATGAGAAAGACTTGGAACGGGAACGGGACACGGGCAGGATGACATTTGGAAAGCAAATCACCTGGGTCTCGGTGTTGAGCCAGACGTGGGAGAGGTCGAGCCCATGGTGGCGGAGGCGGTTGATTTGGAAGATGTGGGAGTCGAGGGAGGTCAGCCCCATCTCTGCAAACTTGTCTGTACCCCTTACATGCAGACTCACTATAGGCCGTGGCATGTACGGCTCCTGCACTCCCAGCGACCAGCTGGCATCCGAGCCGTTGCCATTGTCATTGTCACCGCCCCCTGTGGCACTGCCAGTGGCGTCTGAGTGGAAGGAGAGGGAGGAGCCTGCCAGAGCCGCCAACCGATCTGCCGCTCTTCGCCTCCTTGCCTCCCAGTCAGTAGCATTGGCTGGGACGTTGAGAGTAATAGGTGCGGCAGAAGCGGCAGCAGCAGGGGGGGTGCTGTGAGAGAGGGAGGAGAGGGTTTCTGATTGGGTGTGCAGGAAGCGAGCGACAAGATTGGCTGCGAGCATGGAGAAGGCGCGGTGCCTCTCCTGGTTGGTGACATGGCAGAGATGCGCCGACGGCCACCGCATGATGAATCGCACCGCCTGCGCCCGCCACCAATGCACCTGGAGGCATGAGGGGTGGAAGAACCAGGGGGAAAGATAAAGGGGACAGCTCACGAGAACAAATCAGGCTGAAGCGCATAGCCTGCACCCACCACCAGTGCACGTTGGGGCATGGAGAAGGGGGAAGGGGAGAGGATAGAGAGGAAGGCATGGCAACAAGGCATATATGAAACACACTTGGTGTGTCCACCACCAGCCACTCACTGCTGTCACACTCTCAACCCCACACACGCACATGCCCCCATGCCAACACGGCCACCATTTCGTCCCCATGGTGTGCAGGAGAGGAACTTGCTGCGCTGCATGCTACAGTCGCATCACGCGGAGGAGCATGTGGTGGCGCACTCTCTCACCACTTGCTCCTCTGCATGATGAATTGCACCGCCTATGCCCGCCACCAGTGCACCTGCCAACATAGAGGAGCAAGCGGTGAGAGAGTGCGCCACCACCTGCTCCTCCGCGTGATACGACTGCAGCATGCAGCGCAACACGTCTCTCTCCTGCACTCCATGGGGACGAAATGGTAGTTGTGTTGGCATAGGGGCATGTGCGCGTGTGGGGTTGGTAGTGTGACAGCAGTGAGTGGCTGGTGGCGGGCGCACCCAGTGTGTTTCATAATTGACATGTTCCATCAATCTGGTTGCAGTGCAAAAGGCAACTTACTACCTTTATCTTGCCAGTCTCGTGTTTCCATCAATCTGTTTGCAGTGCAATAGGCAGCTTACTACCTTGCGTTGAGGTCCAGAAAGAGCTGCGAGTTTGCCGTTCAGCTGCACAGTGCAGGGCGAGGCCAGGTAGGCGTCACCCAAGAGGCTGAAGGCGAGGGGTCAAGGCGAGGGGGAGGGAGGACGAACGGAGGTAAAACAAAAACGGCGACAAGAAGGGAGTGAGATTGCCGTCCATCTGAACAGTGCAGGGCGAGGCCCGAAAGGCGTCACCCCAGAGGCTGAAAAGGAAGGGGAGGGAGGAAGGAAGCATGGAGGAGGGGGGGAAAAGCGGAAATGGAGGGAAAAAAATTTGTTGCCCAGCTGCATAGTTAAAATCACTTTTGAGAATTCTCAACAGCTGCAAAGTGCAGGGCGAGGTCAGGAGGGAGTCCGCGGAAAGGATTTTGAGACGTCTCAACTATAAAATGTGCGTCATGCTTTTAAAGTTCTGAGACGTCTAAAAAAAGTATACTTGCATGCCATAGAATCCCGATCAGTCGTACAGTTCAAAACGCACTCTGCTGCTCCAGATTCCATGAAAAGCATCGTTGGGTTGGTGTAACCAACGATCACGATTGGATCGTCCAGTGCTGCCACGTCAGCAGGGTCGTCCTTGGCCCAGGGGATGTTCTCAAGGTTCTGCATCAGCGCGTGTTGGATGACGTGGCGGCACGCTGATGAGCGCGGGGGGGAAGAAGAAGCACTCCCATTGGCTGTTGTGACCCGCGGCTTGGATAGTGGGGAACAGGCCCGGGGGAGAGGATAGGAAGGAAAGGGAGAGGGACGAAGGGGAAGGGATTGGGGCGGGGGTGGGGGAAGGAATGAGAGGGTAAGAACTAAAGGAGTAAGTGAGGGTAAGTTCTAGAGGGGGCGAAGGGGCAAAGAAGAAGATAAGAAGCACAAGCACTTTGTTGGCTGTTGCAGAGCACAGGTTGGGCCGAGAACGCAAGGTGGTGATAGGGGAGTGACTGAGCAGTAAGGGCACCCCTCTGCCAACCATTCATTCTTAACTCTGGTGGCATACGCCATACCAAACACCCATGCAGGCATATGCTCTGCGGCAACCATGCCATGCACTGACCTTCACAGGAGGGCGTGCGAGCGCGGTCGAAGCCGTCGGGTTGAGCGACGAGCGTGCGGTTGTGGCGCATGGCCACACTGAGCAGCGCGCTCATGTAGTGGATCTGGATTGGGGGGTGTGTAAGGGATGTAGGGTGAGTGAGGCTTCAACACACACGCAACAGTGTGCTCAGTAGTGCACCTGAGAGGACACACACACGTATAGCCACGAGCATGCGGTTGTGGCGTTTGGCCACACTCAGCAGCGCGGTCAGGTAGTGGATCTGGTGCATGGGGGCGTGGGATATAGGGTGTAGGGCACAGTGCAGCAGGTGGGGCTTCATACACGAAACACAGTGCTCCATCATGGGAGTGGCACGAGGGTGCAGTTGCAGTGCATGGCCACACTCAGTAGTGCAAGTGGCTGCCTCTCTGCTACACTCGTGGCTCATCTAGTGAATCTGCTTGGTGTGGGTGTGCGGGTGTGGGGTTGTGGGGTGTGGAATTTGGGGGCGTATGTAGGCCGTGTGCTGTGCGTGCGGCTTTGTACTTGTGCATGGCCGCACACCACACACAAGGGCACTCGCACTCGCCTGGGAGCCAACGCCATGTGACGTGGATTTGGCCCAGTGGGCCATGAGGAGGCGCCTGTTGGTGCGCCTGTTTGAGTCGACTCAGATGAGCTAGAGTACACACACCGCACAACACCACACCACACCACACCACACCACACCACACCACACCACACACATGTGCAAGAGCACTCGCACTCGCCTGGGAGCCAACGCCGTGTGACGTGGATTTGGCCCAGTGGGCCACGAGGAGGCGCCTGTCGGTGCAATCCCCAGGGGGGAACTGGTTTCGCCAGATGTCTCTCTGCACGACACGTGTCAGTGGCAGATTGGCTTCATCCGACCCTCTGATCTGGGTGGGGATGAGGGATGGAACGAGGAGAGCCCGTGATGGGAGGTCCTGAAAGTTGACATAATGATAGACATGACATTATGGTCATCCCATTGAGATTAGCCATCCTAAAAACGTGTGCAACGACCAATTAGGGTAAAACTCCCCACTGTCGTACATACTTACAGAAGATCAGTGAGGACTATATCTGCACTTTACCCCCTTACCCATGGCGGCTGCGGGACCTCCTCCCCCTGCGCTTGCCCCGAGCACCCAGGGGAAGCACCACCACCACCAGCTGCAGCATCCGCCTGTCTTGGGGCTCCGCGGGTCCAAGCGGGCTCCTCTCCCCCCTCGCCTCTCCGCTCCCACGCCTCCCGCTCCGCGCTCACTCGCGCGCAGTCCTCCAGGTGCGGCGCAGCGGGCACGCCCGCGGGGAGGGAGACGGCGGAAGGGGGAAGCACAGAGTCTCCGCCCAGCCCGTACGCTTCCGACCACGCCTCAACGAGGAACGCGGCTTTCAGCGACGCGGCCTCGCCGCCTTGCGCTACCGCGAGGCGCGGAGCAGCGACGTCGCGAGTGTGCGAGGCGGGAAACGAGGAAGAAGAGAGTAGCGCGCCGATGATGAGGGTGATGACGTGGAGCGGCGCGCGTGAGAGGGTGGGTTTGAAGTATGAAAGGCTCTGATGTGGAGCGACTCGGTAAGAACAGTGACAAGGTTTTGTTCGTTCCAAAGGGTGGCATGGTGGGACGCGATAGGGACCGCGGCCATGGCGCATCCTACTTGCGATTGACGGTGCACAAGACGGTCGCGACGGCGTATCGAGACGTTTCGTTCTCAAACTGACGGATTATGTGAAAGAGAAGAGAAGCTGTATAGATCGAGGGACCAAGGTAAGTGATGGGTTGACCTGGCAATGTGATTCTAGAGGAATGAAAGAGGAAACAGGAGGGCGAGAAAATTTTCGGAGTAGGGAAATGCGACGGGGCTCGAGGGACCCAGACATTTTGTACTCGTTACTTGGATGGCTCTGCTCCGATAAAAGAGAAGCGACCCTCTTACACGAAGAACTGATTGATTAGCCTATGTTGCGAACGAAGAGCAGTATCTCGGACGAGTCTGACAAGCTCTTTTCCACCCATCCCACCCATCTGACATCAATTTCCCCCTCACCAGGAATCCTAGCGAGCAACGGTCACATTTCTCCCTCGTTTTCGGTAGCTCTCCGCATCGCGCGCCGCGATGGTGGCGATCCAAAACTCGCAGAAGTACGACCGACAGTTGAGGTGAGTAGCACGGGTCGCCAGACTGTGAATAAAGCAGGGACGCGAATCAGTCCATAACGAGTACTTCGTTGTTGGTCCTGAACTCGCAGAAGTACGATCGACAGCTGAGGTGAGAGGCGAGATCGCACGGTCTGGAATGAGCGGTCGAAGCAATGTCACATTGGTTACGTGCGCAACTTGTTACCACTTTTCGAGGTGTCCAGCCATCATTGCGTGACGAGTGCTTTGCTAGTTACGAAGCATTGGGTAGATTTTCGCGAGGATATTCGCGGAGAATTCACCCGTATGCTGTGTGCGACTCGCTTCGAGTACTCAGCCAAAGGCTTCACAAATCACCTCCCTTGTCAACTCCGTAGCTCGTTTTCACGAGACATGGAAACTGCTTGGGCAACACGGTATATGCTGGTGATCCATCTCACCAAAATCTCGACTCCACCCGCTCCCGCTGTTCAGGATATGGGGCGAGCACGGGCAGCGAGCGCTGGAGCAGGCGCGCGTGTGCCTGCTGACAGCAGGACCCACAGGCACGGAGGCGCTGAAGAACCTGGTGCTGGGAGGGATAGGAGGGAGTGTGCGTTCATCCACCTAAGCCATGCCTTGTCTTGTTTTGCCATTTACAGGATATGGGGCGAGCACGGGCAGAGGGCGTTGGAGCAGGCGCGCGTGTGTCTGCTGACAGCAGGGCCGACGGGCACGGAAGCTTTAAAGAACCTGGTGCTGGGAGGGATAGGCTCCTTCACCGTCGTGGATGGCGCCACTGTGGAGGCCCACGATCTGGGGAACAACTACTTCCGTGAGTCCTGGCGGTTCGCATGGGTGGTGAGTGGTGGAGATGATACTGTGAGCGCGCACTCAATGAAGTGGATGGCGCCACTGTGGAGGCGCATGACCTGGGAACAACAACTTCCGTGAGTCGCGCTCAGTGTCTTTGGTGGGTTGTGAGTGGTGGTGGAGATATTACTTCCTGATTCACTTGATGTCTTGCTGGATTCGCCTTGATTCACGTTCTGCCTTGGAGTTAGTACGCTAGCACGCAAGCACGCTTGCTCGCACATCACACCAACACTGATACCAACACATTTCTCTCTCGTATTGCCATGACGTTAGCATGCCACGCCACATCACTCCAGTTTTCCCTGTTTCTTTTCCATTTTAGCGAGCGAGTCATGCATTTGAAAGGCAGCATGGCTCGCTCGCTAAAACGGAGAAAAAAAATGAGAAAGCTGGGGTGATGTGGCGTGGCATGCTAGCTTCAAGGCAGTACAAAAGAGAAATGTGTTGGGCATCGGTGTTGGTGTGATGTGGCGTGCTAGCGTAGCGTCCTTGCGTGCTAGCATACTAACTCTAAGGCAAGTTGACATTGTGAATCAATACGAATCCGGAGATACATCATGTTTTGCATGCATCTTCACTCAGATCTACCTATGAGGCACATCGCGAGCACAGGCGGTGACAGCGCTGCTGCAGGAGCTGACAACACGTACCCCTCCTTTCCTCCTCGTCCCGATTTTCCTACTTCTGTATTGTGCCTATTACTCAGTGGATCGCACCCACCTGGGCACGTCACGAGCGCAGGCGGTGACAGCGCTGCTGCATGAGCCGAGAGAATCGACTCCTCCTCTTCTCCCCTTTCCTACTCTCTGCATGGCATGTACTATTCAGTGGACCGCACCCACCTGGGCAAATCGCGAGCGCAGGCGGTGACAGCGCTGCTGCAGGAGCTGAACGAGAGTGTGGCGGCGAGGTTCGTGGAGGAGAGCCCTGCCACGCTCATTCAAGACAACGCCACGTTCTTCAGCGAGTTCACCCTCGTCATCGCCACCCAGGTGCGCTTTCCCTGCAGTTATACTCTGGCTTCCTTCTCACTGACCTTTCTTGCTTCACACATCCAACCCTGTTGTGCCGTGCCCGCTGTTCTCTGCCTGCCCCACCCACTCCCCGCACGCACCCTTTTCGCCCTCCCCCGCACAGCTACCGGAGGCAGTGCTACTGCAGCTGGACTCGGTGTGTCGGCAGCACGGCTGTCAGCTCTCTCACTCGTCACAGCTCCATTCACCTCTCTCAAACATTCCTTTTCTTCTCACGCTCTCCGATTCCCTGTCACCCTTCCCTGTCACCCTCCCGTCCCAGCTGCCGGAGTCAGTGCTACTGCAGCTGGACTCGGTGTGTCGGCAGCACGGCTGTCAGCTCATAGTGGCACGCTCCTATGGGCTCATGGGTCTCATCCGCATCTCCTCTCCGGTAAGCTTTACGGCTGTAACTCTGGTCTGGTCAGATATGCTGTACCTCTTGATTCGACCCGACAGTCGGCAGCACGGCTGTCAGCTCATAGTGGCCCGCTCCTATGGGCTCATGGGTCTCATCCACATCTCCTCTCCGGTAGGTCTTGTTGCTGCTCTGGTAAGCTCTGCTGCTGCTCTGGCGCTGTTGCTCCGGTAAGTCTCGTTTCTGCTATAGTAGCCTTCATCTTTTTCGAATGCGCTTCTGCTCCTTGGAGGGTGCCACCCTCCCTGGATGGAACTGAAGCCTGACGGTGAGTGTAATCGACGATCGGAGGGGCGTTTTTCTATCGCTGTGCTTGTGCCCATACCCACTCGCTGCCCTTGCGCCTTGCTCATCCTTCCTTGTGCCCGTGTCACGCTCCTCCCTCCCAGGAGCACTGTGTGGTGGAGGCGAAGCCAGACAACACAACACAGTGGACGTGTTGTTTTGCCCATCCTTCCTTGTGCCCGTGCCCGTGTCATGCTCCTCCCTCCCAGGAGCACTGTGTGGTGGAGGCGAAGCCAGACAACACAGTGGACGACCTGATACGCATCCCGTCCATAGCAAGAGAAGTCGCTCTTTTTGTTGTTTTGACCTGTGCCCGTGCCCGTACCCACGCTCCTCCCACCTCTCTCCCTTCCAGGAGCACTGTGTGGTGGAGGCGAAGCCAGACAACACAGTGGACGATCTGAGGCTGCACAAGCCGTGGAAGGAGCTCAAAGAGTGAGACTCTGACTTGGGGGTGGGGTAGGGCTGAAGGTGTGTGGTTGGGTGCAGTGCAGTGCTGGTGGGGCGGAGGCCAGACAACACGGTGGACGATCTGAGGCTGCACAAGCCGTGGAAGGAGCTCAAAGAGTAAGACCAGAGTGGTTGAGGCTAACGTCGTTGGGTGTAATTGGGTTGGTGTGGGTGGGGCGGGGTAGTTGGGTTGTGGTGCAACCTGGTGGACAGTTTGAGAGCATGCCAAGGCACTCGTCTCTTTGCCTCCTCGCCCCACGTGCACTCTCACACGAGTAACCCCAGCAACGGCCCTCCAATGGCCCAGTCCTGGGCTCACTCAACTTCTGATTCCCCTTCTCCCCGTTTTATTAGAATTCTCAACAAACAGGTTCAGCATATTCTCCCCCCTCACTCCCAGCCTGCCGTCATCTGCGGCAGGGCGCGAATGGGTTCGATTTGGGCATGGAGGAACCCATGCTGCACATGCATCTGCCCTTCATCCTTCCTACCCCGATCAAGGACATGTGTGTCCTTCATCCCGCTACACGCACATCTTTCCTACCCCGCTCTTTGTCATATATGTGTGCTCAGGTTTGCGAATGGGTTCGATCCGGAAATGGAGGGTGCGATGCTGCACAGCCACATCACATACGCTGTTGTCCTGCTGCACGCTTATTCTTCCCACCCCCCCCTTCCCTCCGCCTCCCCTTCCGTATAATCTCAGGTTTGCAGAGGGGTTTGATCTGGGTATGGAGGATGCGATGCTGCACAGCCACATCCCATACGCTGTTGTCCTGCTGCACGCTTATTCTTCCCACCCCCCCCCTTCCCTCCGCCTCCCCTTCCGTATAATCTCAGGTTTGCAGAGGGGTTTGATCTGGGTATGGAGGATGCGATGCTGCACAGCCACATCACATACGCTGTTGTCCTGCTGCACGCTTATTCTTCCCACCCCCCCCTTCCCTCCGCCTCCCCTTCCGTATAATCTCAGGTTTGCAGAGGGGTTTGATCTGGGTATGGAGGATGCGATGCTGCACAGCCACATCACATACGCTCTTGTCCTGCTGCACGCTTATTCTTCCCACCCCCCCCCTTCCCTCCGCCTCCCCTTCCGTATAATCTCAGGTTTGCAGAGGGGTTTGATCTGGGTATGGAGGATGCGATGCTGCACAGCCACATCACATACGCTCTTGTCCTGCTGCACGCTTATTCTTCCCACCCCCCCCTTCCCTCCGCCTCCCCTTCCGTATAATCTCAGGTTTGCAGAGGGGTTTGATCTGGGTATGGAGGATGCGATGCTGCACAGCCACATCACATACGCTGTTGTCCTGCTGCACGCTTATTCTTCCCACCCCCCCCTTCCCTCCGCCTCCCCTTCCGTATAATCTCAGGTTTGCAGAGGGGTTTGATCTGGGTATGGAGGATGCGATGCTGCACAGCCACATCCCATACGCCGTCATCCTGCTGCAGGCAGCGCAGCAGTGGCAGCAGGGGGGAGGGAGAGGGGAGGCCGGGGAAGCAGGGGCAGGAGGATCAGGAGGAGGGGAAGAGGCGGCGCCGGTGGCGATGCAAGCGGATGGGGAGGGGCAGGGAGGGGCGGACGAGCCGCGAGCACTGCCTCGTAGCGCCAAGGAGCGATCAGAGTTCAAGGTAGGGAGGGGGGAGGAGGTGGGGGAAGAGGGGCGTGGAGGAGGTAGGGGAAGAGGGGCGTGTAGGAGGTAGGGGAAGAGGGGCGTGTAGGAGGTTTTTTTTGGCGCTTCAGAGATAAGGAGGGTCAAAAAGGGGCGGGTGAGCCGCGAGCACTGCCTCGCAGCGCCAAGGAGCGGTGGGAGTTCAAGGCGGGTCTGGGTGACTGTTGCTGGCATGACAAGGCAGGAGAAGGAGGGTGAGCGTGAGAATCTTTGAGAATTCTCAAAAGTACTCTGCAACTCCAGGGAAAGAGGGGTGGGGGCGTGAATCCATGGCTAGAGGCCCATTCACCTGTGTGATGCTATATTGGATAGTTGGAGTTGCTTTCTCATAAATAACTCCAGTGCCTCATGTGTGATGCAGTGACTCCAGTGCCTCATGTGTGATGCAGTGACTCCAGTGCCTCATGTGTGATGCAGTGACTCCAGTGCCTCATGTGTGATGCAGTGACTCCAGTGCCTCATGTGTGATGCAGTGACTCCAGTGCCTCATGTGTGATGCAGTGACTCCAGTGCCTCATGTGTGATGCAGTGACTCCAGTGCCTCATGTGTGATGCAGTGACTGAGTAATGCCGTGAGACGCGGATGGGGCTGAATAATGCCGTGTCTTTCTTTCGTCCCCTCCTTGTACTTTACCGTACTCGTTTTTCCTACTCTGTTCTATAGCCACACACCCACACACTCCCACACCTACTCACCTCCACACTCTCACAACCACACGCACACCTCCACAGCCACACATCCAGGCATTGATCACAGCACAGCAGGGGCACATGGACGATATGACTTTTGAGTCGACTCGAAAGTCACCCAGTCACCTCGACTCATGAGTCGACTCAGAAGTCACAGTAGGCGTACATGGATGCGGACAACTTGAAAGAGGGCATGACTGCCACACGTATACATACAGAGCGTATTTTTGGTCCACTCAAAACGCAACCCCACAACCCGCACGTGCAGGCGTTGATCGCAGCACACCAGAGGCACATGGACGAGGATAACTTCAAGGAGGCCCCTCGCAAGTGCATTCTGAGTCAACACAAAACACGCCTCCACACTTACGCTCCCTCGCAACCCCACACCCCACACGCACAGGCGTTGATAGCAGCGCACCAGAGGCACATGGACGAGGATAACTTCAAGGAGGCCCTCGCTGCTGCGTACAAAGTGTGGTCGCCTCCCCCCATAGGTACAAAGTGTGGTCGCCTCCCCCCATAGGTACAAAGTGTGGTCGCCTCCCCCCATAGGTAGGTACCCGTACCGTACCCCTGCCTTCTGAGCTCACTCTTAGATCAGCCGTAATGCCACTTTGATGTGATATCCGTATTTGTCTTCTTGCGTCCAGAAACATGTTTTCCCCATGTTTGACCTGCTTTCCGGGTCCCGTACCTCTCCTCCTCCTCCTCCTCCTCCTCCTCCTCCTCCTCCTCCTCCTCCTCCTCCTCCTCCTCCTCCTCCTCCTCCTCCTCCTCCTCCTCCCCCCCCCCCCCACCTTCCCCACACCATGCCCATGCTGCGTGCTCTAGGCTCGGAGCTGCAGGCCATGTTCACCGATGCAGCCATGCAGCTCTCACACGCCTCCTCTGACTTCTGGGTGCTAGCTGCTGCGCTCAAGGTACGCGCTAGGATTGCTTTCCCAACACTGCACTTACACCGCAATTTCACCTGCTTCCGCTCTCCTGCGTTCGAGCTCAATCATTAAACTTCTTCGTCTCGTTCTTTGCAGCCTTGGTTTTTTTCTATCTTCTAACTTCTGGAAAATCTCAAAAGTGACTCCAAAATCGGTTTTTGCAGCCCGTTGTTGTTGTTGGTGCGACTTTTGAGAATTCTCAAAATCTGCGGCGTGTTGTTTGTTTCCATCTTCCAACTCCCGTCTCCTCGACCTGTCTCATCTTCTATTGCTGATGAAGGTGTGACTTGGGGCCTGTCCCAGTCCGCCGAAACTAGTTCGCATGTTAATCTAGTAGTGGAGTTGAGGGTTCATTTTTTGTAATTTTTGGCATTTAGCAGGGTACAACAAACAGACAAGTTTTACTCTTCTTTTGCTAAAAGTATCTTCTTGATTGCTGCTCGCCCAGTCTTCATGGCTGATCTTCCAACTCCCGTCTCCTCGACCTGTCTCGTCGTTTGTTGTTGTCCTTCCATGTGTGCCTCTGCGTTCAGCTGTTTGTGGAGAAGGAGGGGGAAGGGGACCTCCCTGTTGATGGCGCCATACCCGACATGCACTCCCTCACAGAGTGAGAGTGATGGCATGGCATGGCATGCACTTTTTTATTTTTAGGTTTGTGTTGGAGGGTGTGTGACAATGGTGCTGAAGATGGGTGAATAGGAGTTGTGGGAGTGTGAGTGTGTATGAACATCTTTTCGAAAGTCACATGCATGTTTCTCTTTTAGAAGCATCCATCTGCCCGTTCCATCCTGCTTTATTTCACTCTCGCTTCGATTTTTTTCTCTCCTCTCTCCTTTTTTACCTCCATACCCCTTATCCTTATCCCCTCACATCACCAACATTCATCCCTTCCCTTTCACCAGTTTCTACGTGGCACTTCAGAGAATCTACCTCAGCAAGGCGGATGCTGACGTGGCAGCGGTGCAGCGCCACGTCAGCGACCTACTGAAGAGCATAGGCAGGGACCCCGCCTCCATTCCCCTCGCTACAGTCAAGCTCTTCTGCAAGAACGCGCGGAACCTGAGGGTAATCTCCAGACTAACCCAGTAACCACTCTTCTCGTTACTCAAACCTTGGAAAGCACATGTGTGGGTGCACAAGTGGTGTGCTGCTGGCTACAATCCGCACACAACCCAACCACTAACTGCTATTCATTCCAACGCTGGAAAATACATGTGTGGGTGCACCCCTGTGCTTCTATTGGTTCTTAGATGCCTGAATCATCAGACTTTTGAGTCGGCTCAAAAGTTGGCTCTTAAGATGCCAGAATTATCAGCGGCGTCCCGTGTAATTGTGACTGAGTGACTGCCATTGTCGATTGGTGCTGTTCATGTAATCCTATGCCAGTCCCCTCTCACTGTTTTTCCTTCCGCATCTACTAACATCATCTCCTGATCATATCTCCAGTGCCGGACAATCACAGGTGTTACCCCCTCAACTGCACACGTGTTTTCCTCCCCTCCTTGGGCCCCACCTTCACTTTTACTCGCTATAAGGTGGTTCGCTTCAAGCCTTTGAGTGAGGAGTTTGGAGCAGGGGCGCCAGCTTGCATTCCAACTCTGCAGCGGCTCATGTCATCTCCAGATGGCAGGTACAGTTTCATGTCATCTCCTCATGGCAGGTACGGTTTCATGTCATCTCCTGATGGCAAGTACTGTTGCATGTCATCTCCTGATGGCGGATACAGTTTCTTGTCATCTCCAGATGGTGAGGTACAGTCTCATGTCATCTCCAAATGGTGAGGTAGAGTTGTGTGTTGTGCTACCTCTCTTGCAGAAGGTTTCTGAAAACCCTTACACTGAAGCAGCGACATGCGTGAAGCCAATCTATCTCTCTCCACTTCTTTCCCCTCATCGTCCCTCCCAACTTCCCTCCTCTCCCCCCCCCCCCCCCCCCCCCCCACATCACCACCTATCAGCCATGCAGCCCTGTATGTGCTCCTGAGAGGCGCCGACCACTTCTATTCCCAGTTCCACCGCTACCCCGGCTCTTTCCCCGGGTATGGCAAGAACCTTATATGTTGTAAGGCAAGAACCTTATATGTTGTGTGGCAAGAACCTTATGTTGTGTGGCAAGCACCTTATGTTGTAAGGCAAGACACATAGGTCGTTCTTGTGAGGTAATCACCAGTGGTCATAAGATTCACTCATTCATGTGTTTTTACGTCTTCGATGTGATTATGTTTTTTGTCGCTATTGCACCAGTGTGGATTGCATACCCAGCGTCATCATAGTTCCTCCTATCAAACATCACTGAGGTGTATTGGCTTAAGGAAGATGGCAGTTAGTTTGCTGCAGGATGTATCGGGATGCCGTTAGGCGGCGCAGCGGCTAATTTTTTACCTCCACTCACGTGCCCTCTGTTCTCTTGCCAGTGACGTGGACGATGATGACGTGGCACGGCTCAAGAGTCTGGCAGGCACTATTGTCAGTGGAGGTGGCAGCCCCAGCCAGTCACCGTCGATTCCGGACGATCTGACGGCTGAGATGTGCCGGTTTGGTGCCAGTGAGCTGCACTGTGTTGCTGCTGTGATTGGAGGGGTGGCAAGCCAAGAAGCAATCAAGGTAAATCCCCTTGGTTTTTTTTTTCTACAGTGAATACTCCATGGATTTCCTGAAATTAGTTGACTTGATGGTTGGTTGATTAGTCAGTTAGGAGCATGGAGTTGGCCAACACGGATCTCCCTTAGCCTCCCGCAGCGCCTCTAAACCCTCCTGCCCACCTCCAATTCCTTCATTCGTAGCTGTTGTCTTTCTGCCATGTTGCATCTACTCTTGTCCTTCTCATTCTCGCAATCATGGCATGTTCCTTCTTGTGTGCAGCTTATTACCAAGCAGTTCGTTCCTGTCTCGGGCACATTGATTTACAACGGGATTTCTCAATCGTCTTCAGTTATCAACTTCAGTTAGGTGTTTCCTTCGTTATGTTGTTAATGAGCATTTTAAGGCCTAATACCTGCCATGAAAAGTTTATCTACTGGGATATTGTGCTCATGAAAATAAGTGTGCTCTAATCTTGTGCCAATGTGCACGGCGCACTCTATAGGGGAATGAAGGCTCATCATCCGTTGGCATGCTGTTGACCTTGACACTGGTCTGGCTGGTCTGCGCCTGCATCCGAGTCCAAGAAAGTCAACCAGCAAAACCTGTAACGACTTTAAATCCGTATTCGAAGTAAGTGGTATCGCGCTCGTTACAGTTTTCAGCTGTTCTCGTTTCGTTCTTTTTCTGCTCGCTGCATTTTCAGCTTCATAGTCACCGCTGCCAAAGGTGCAACGTTTCAGCGTGAGGGTCAGCACCACGTCATTGACCATCTAATTTTGGTTCAGAAGCCCACTGAAACTAGGGCTTCAACGCTCTTGTGCCTATCTGTTTCTGCTGAATGCGCAACATTACGAGGGAGGTTGTAACTGACTTATGTGTTTGATGTGAATCGCAAACCTGGATTGCTAGTGGGGAATGATCATACTGGGGCCTCGGACTAGCAGAAAGATGGCCAACTTGGGGCCTCGTGATTCGCGACCCTACGAAGGAGGCCCGAAGCCACCCACAAGCCTAGGCAGCTAGGCCGAGCTCGCCACGTCACCTCCTGCTGGCTTGGGCTTGACGGATTTAGCTAGCACCCTGGTTCACGGGAGCAGTGATCGTCAGCCCATTCACAATGGGCAGTACAGATACTTCAGCAAAATAACCCAGAAATAAACATTTTAGCCCAAAAATATTATCGTAGTGGTAAAAAAAATAAAACCCAATTGGATGGCATAAAATTGGGGAGGCATCAACCCTAAAAACATGCGACAATGTGTTTAGGGTTGATGCCTCCCTGACCGGATGCATGCCCGTATGGGGTTTATATTTTTTGCCAGCTTGTCCGTTCAGAAATCCGTCACGTCGTGTGGTCAGGTCTGACGGAGCGCGTGGGTGAGGCCCGAAATTGGTTAGAGACAGGTCCGGACCAGGTTCGAAACATCGCGAAACACGAGGCCCCAAGTTGGCTCTATTCCTAGAACTTTGGGGCCCCAATCTGATCAATACTCATTGCTAGTGGACTCTTGTTTCCCTCTCTGAGATCAATCTGATTGAAAACGTTCAGGAGGATTCGGCAGATGTTCACGATTTTTGGAGATGAGGCGTTGTGCACCAATTTTGTAGGATATCAGACTCCTCTACAAGCTCGGTTCGATCATATCTACAATATAATGGCCGTCGGGTGCCATCCTTTCTACTAAGCAAGCTAGGGCCGCTCATATTTTCCCGATCGGATCCGAGACACGAATATGATTCCATTGGCCCCCAGAGTGTAACGCGCTGATGCCACCTCGTGCGGAGAATCCGCTACCTAATGATTAGCTTTAACTGCTAATTAGCCTCTAAAATTAGTAGCCAGTGCGAGCCGCGCGTCGCCAACTCCTGGTAGAAGGTCTACGACACCACGGGACTATACATACTAACATCAAGCATAGAGATTCCAGCAGCACAAGTCTACTAGCCTTTACATATCTCGTTACGATGCACCAAAAGATCTGGGAGGCGTGAGTCACTTTGAAGCATACCAACTCGTTTCGCCTTCAACGCTGAAAGTAGGGCTCCCAAGCAGAATGATCCATCCCGGCTGCCGCTCATACTGCCTCGCAACATCCCAACGCCTCCCACGCTTACAATACGCCCTCCTCCTCCTTCTCCTCATCGGCGCGCTTCACGCTCCTCCCTCCCTTCCCGTCGGCAACACTCGCGGCTCCGGCCCGCTCTTAGCGCTAGCGCTAGCCGCGTCGCAGTTTCTAGGCGATGCCGCTTCCCAGGAAGCGGAGGCGTTAGTTAAAGCGTGGTCGGAAGCGTACGGGCTGGGCGCAGACTCTCTGCTTCCCCCTTCCGCCGTCTCCCTCCCCGCGGGCGTGCCCGCTGCGCCGCACCTGGAAGATTGCGCGCGAGCGAGCGCGGAGCGGGAGGCGTGGGAGCGGAGAGGCGCGCGGGGAGAGGAGCCCGCTTGGACGCGGGAAGGGCCAAGGAGGTCGGAGGCTGCTGCTGGTGGTGGGTGCTCGGGGCAAGAGCAGGGGGAGGAGGTCCCGCAGCCGCCATGGGTAAGGTTTATAGTCCCTTCTGCACTGCTGTAGGTTATGTACCGGTAGGACAGTGGGGAGTGCGAAGATAGTTAGACGTTGCACCAAATACTTTGGATGGCTAATGCCAATGTCAAGTTTAATGTCAATGTCAGTATCATTGTCAGTGTCATTGTCAGTGTCATTGTCAGTGTCATTGTCAACGTCAATGCCAGCTTCAGGGTCCAGTTGAATGTCCATCCAATGCATTGTCAATGTCAGATCAATGCGATGTCAAGCTTCAACACATCCCTTTTGGATCCCATGATGCAGGCATTCCCGACACAATGGCACTCTTTACCTGTCTGTTCGCCCACACATGTTCCACCCAGATCAGAGGGCCGGATGAAGCCAATCTGCCGCTGACACGTGTCGTGCAGAGGGACATCTGGCGGCATCAGTTCCCACCTGGGGATTGCACCGACAAGCGCCTGCTCATTGCCAAGTGGCCCAAACCTGGTGGCCATGGGGCTGGCTCGCAGGTGAATCTGATGGGCTCGCAGGTGAATTTGATGGGCTCTCAGGTGAATCTGATGGGCTCTCAGGTGAATCTGATGGGCTCGCAGGTGAATCTGATGGGCTCTCAGGTGAATCTGATGGGCTCTCAGGTGAATCTGATGGGCTCTCAGGTGAATTGAATGGGCTTTCAGGTGAATCTGACGGGCTCTGAGGTGAATTTGATGGGCTCTCAGGTGAATTTGATGGCATTTGATGGGGTTATTGGGAGGCAATAGATAGGCTTAGAGGTGAATTCATTGGCTTTTCAGGTGAATCTGATGGATGTTCAGGTGAATCTTCTCAATCGTGCCATGCTCAACAGTGGTACTCGCGTAGAGGACCCTGACGCCTACCTGTTTAATGCTGACATGACACGTGTTGCAATTTTCAGTCGACTGCATGTATCCATACATCCCATCCCACCCACCAACCCACCAGGTGCATGTGATGTCGGCCATGCTCAGCCTGGCCATGCTCAACAACAGAGTGCTCGTAGAAGACCCCGACACCTACCTGCGCGCCCGCACGCCTGACTGCGAAGGTGCGCTCGTTTCTCCCACCCACCCACCCACCCACCCACCCACCCACCCACCCACCCACCCACCCACCCACCCACCCACCCACCCACCCACCCACCCACCCACCCTCATGTCCCCTTTTTCCCGACTGTGAAGGTAAGCCCTTTTCTCCAACCCACCCTCATGCACCCCTCCCCATGCCATGCCCCCCTTCCTTCACCATACCCCCCTCCCCATACCCCTTTCCTTATACCCCCCTCACCATACCCCCCTCACCATACCCCCCTCCCCATACCCCTTTCCTTATACCCCCCTCACCATACCCCCCTCACCATACCCCCCTCACCATACCCCCCTCACCATACCCCCTCCCTCACCATACCCCCCTCACCATACCCCCCTCACCATACCCCCTCCCTCACCATACCCCCCTCACCATACCCCCCTCACCATACCCCCTCCCTCACCATACCCCCTCCCTCACCATACCCCCTCCCTCACCATACCCCCTCCCTCACCATACCCCCTCCCTCACCATATCCCCCTCCTCATGTCCCCTCTCCAACCCCCCTCCCCGCATTAAACCCTCCACACTCATCCCACCATAACCCCTCCTCGTTCCCCTTTCATCATGCCCCTCTCCCCTCACCCTGCTCCCCCATACCTTCTCTCCTCTCCATCACCAGTCGCAAGGACTGCTACCGCTTCTCCAATACACCAGTGGAATGTCTCCACGTGGCTATGCAGCTGCTGAAACTCATACCCACCTCCCCGTACCCCACCACCCCGTACTCACCTCCCCGTACCCACCTCCCGTACCCACCTCCCCGTACCCACCTCCCCGTTCCCCGCTGTTATCACCAGCCGTGGGGCACAACAGTCGGTGGGACTGCTACTTCTTCCCCATCACCTCAGTGGAGTGCCGTCGAGTGGTTGTACAGCAGCTAGTCACCAACACACTCCCCGACTGCGCTGGCATGGGCTTTGAGGCCGCTGCTGCCTCGCCCGATCGCTTTGTGTGCATCGGCATGGCGAATTCTATGGAGTCCTCCGCTGCTAGGTGGGTACGGAAGGTGGGAATGGGGAAGGGGGAGTATCGATACGATTTTCAGAGGTTTATTGCTAAGGTGTTTCTCTGTTTCCTCTGTTTCTCCTTTCCTCTGTTTCTCTCTGTTTCTCCCTTCCTCTGTTTCTCCCTTCCTCTGTTTCCCCCTTCCTCTGTTTCTCCCTTCCTGGCAATGGTACCCTTAACAGGACATGCGCGAACTCGGAGGCCATTCCGACATCGGCCTTCAGGAAGTTCCGCATACAATTCTAAAAAAACAGATTCAGCATACAAACATATTTCCTGCCAGGTGGCTCGACAGGGGCTGCTTGGCTGCCGGGAGAATCGGCAGGGGAGGCTCATTGTTCCTTTCCCCTCTTCCGCTCCCATTGTTCCCCCCACCTCTTCCCCCGCTCTTACCCGCCCATCCCCCCCATCCTGTGGCAGCCTGTGAGGCGACGACGCATATCTCAACACAGCATGAGCGGTGGAGGCAAAGGGGCGACTCATGGTTCTCCACGGTACCCAACTTCTTCCCATACTTACCTCCCTTCCCTCGAACCCCCCATCCTGTGGCAGCCTGTGGGGCGATGCGTATCTGAACAGCACATGCACGGTGGAGGCAGAGGGGCGACTCATGCCTCTTGACCCGGAACTCCGCAAGGTGACTGACTGACTGTAAGGGGTATGCCTGCAGTATTCATAAGTCGATTCAAAACACACCTGAGCCTCAGCTGGGAGAAGGTCACAATTGGGGATGTGTCAGGAGCCTCAGCTGGGGAAGGTCACTATTGGGGATGTGCCAGGAATGTTCATAAGGGGGTGTGTGAGGAAAATACAGAAGGTGATGTTTTCAAAGTGTCTCACGACGTGACAGGGAGTGGTGCGCGAGGAGATGATTTGGATGTGATCATGTGATGGTGTATGTGTGAGGTCTGGATACAGGCATTGTGTGTGTGGTGCCACCAGGAACAGGCACAGGACACAGGGCACGGGGCTCAGGGCACAGGGCGCAGGGCGCAGGGCGCAGGGCGCAGGCGCCCAACGCCCTGCGCCCCAGGGTGCACTGGTGGTGGGCAGAGGCGGTGCGTTTCAGCCAAACTCGTTCCCATGATATTCTCCCTCTTCACTCTTCTCCCTGGCCCCAGGGTGCACTGGTGGTGGGCGCAGGAGGAGACTCAATAATTCTTTTGTGTCGTGTCTTCTCTCCATCCTCCCCTTTCTCCCTGCCCCCTGGCGCGCTGTTGGTGGGTGTGGGGCGGTGCGTTGCATTGCTCTTTGAGTATATCTATTGTTTCTTACTGTGCCCTCGCCAGGTGCACTGGTGGTGGGCGCAGGCGGTGCGATTCATGATTCTCTTGTTGTCATGCCCTTCCTCTCTATCCCTTTCTTCCCTTCCCCCTTCCCCATGCTCCCAGGTGCACTGGTGGCGGGCGCAGGCGGTGCGATTCATCACGCGGTGGCCATCGGCTCATCTCTGCCACGTCACCAACCAGGAGAGGCACCGCGCCTTCGGCACACTCTCAGCCAATCACGTCGCTCGCTTCCTTCTTACCCAATCAGAAGCCCTCTCCTCTCTCTCTCACAGCACCGCCCCTGCTGCTTCTGCCACCTCTGCTGCGGCCACCTCTGCTGCACCTACCGCACTCAACGTCCCAGCTAATGCAACTGACTGGGAAGCAAGGAGGAGAAGAGCAGCAGACCGATTGGCGGCTCTTGCAAGTTCATCCTTGTCCTTCCATCCAGACGCCACTGGCAGTGCCACAGGGGGTGGTGACAATGGCAATGCCAACAGCGCGGATGCCAGCTGGTGGCTGGGAGTGGAGGAGCCGTACATGCCGCGGCCTATAGTGAGTCTGCATGTAAGGGGTACGGACAAGTTTGCAGAGATGGGGCTGACCTCTCTGGACTCCCACATCTTCCACATGAACCGCCTCCGCCACCATGGGCTCGACCTCTCCCACGTCTGGCTCAACACTGAGACCCAGGTGACTTGCCTGTCAAATTTGCATGCTGCCTGTTCCTATTCCATCCTGATTTGCAGTTTGCTCATTCTCATCTGCTAAACTTCGATTTCTTGCTGCCTCTGTCTGGTCCAGTCAGTCTGTGTGCTCACTCCCATCCAACCTCCTCTTCTCCTCACACCACGCAGGCCAACGTGGATCGAACAGCAGATCAACCCTCATGGACTTTCTTCTACTCGTCCAACACACGGCAGCAGGACGCGCCGAAGGGATTGCTTCATTGTCTGGTCCTATCAGCCTTTTTGCTTTCCCCCCCTCGGCCTCTTCTCCTCACACCATATAGGCCAACGTGGACCGAGCAGCGGATCAGCCCTCATGGACTTTCTTCTACTCATCCAACGCGCGGCAGCAGGACGCAGCGGGGTCGCTACGCCAGTACGAGCGAGACCAATCAGTGGCGGTGAGCTTTGCCAGCGTGCTCATCGCAGCGCAGTGCGACTATTACGTTGGCAGCCTCGGCTCCAACTGGAGCCGCCTCATGAACGAGCTGCGCTCCACCAACGGCCGATTGCTAGCCGGCTTTGTGGCCGTCAATTTTGGGGAATGGTGACTTGCGATACCTTTGCAAGCAGTAGTTTGACATTTGGAAGTGTAAATAAGCGTGTACAAACGAGGGATCGTAATTTTCTGCTGCTTGATCTCAGCCCCCAAGTTGCCGAGAAGGGCAAAGGGAGGATGTCAGGGAGAGATGGGTAACAAATATGTAAATCCATCCCTTCTGTTGTTCCACTATAAGGGCCTGTTTCCACTATGGCCTCTTATCAAGCAAACCTCTTGTCGGAATGAATTACCATGTCAGAACTTCACAGCTGAATAAATTGTGACTAGAAAGCGTTGTACCCTATACAATGCACCTCGCAGTAGCCTAACAAACGTAACACACATACCGTATGATTATTGTTTGTCAATCCACTTCTTGGTTATGCAAATGCCTATGCAGTGGGAACCACACCGCCCTGATGAAACGCACTGATTGGAAACGTTCTCGAATGGTATGAACTGTGAAGTCACGAAAACTCTGTACCGAGTACAGATTTAAACATTTTATACGGCTCCAATCTCATCTGCAAGAGCTTGTTTCTAAGTTGAGTTTGGCTAGACTCCTCGATAGTCTCATGTCACGGACCACCGTTGGATCTTCACCGAGCCTTTGGCTGCTGCCACCCCACGGAATCGTCGGAACCTAGAAAAGTGCTGTTTTTTTGTTTTCGAACGGGCAGGCGAAAGTATACGATTAGCCGCGCGTAATTCCCGCTTCCGCTAGTCTGTTACACATTGCCGTTTCTTCAGTTGGTACCGACCTGAGACTGGGGATAAACATTTTGCCTAATATTTTTCTGACCCGTCGAAGTGAATCTCCGGAAGCGCGCAGTGTCATATCGCAACGAGCCTCACTAGCCTCGTCGCAACGAAACAGCGACCTCGTCCGAGCCTAAAACAACCATCTCTTGAAGGGTAGCGGAACCGAAATGTTTCGCGCCGCAGCCTTGCCCGTGAGAATCGAGCAGCCTGCAAAATCGTTTAGTACGTTTGCCCTTGTAGAAGTTTCAAGCCGGGCTGCTGCCGGAGCAGGCCTCAGAAGTTCCCGGAGGCGGAAAGTGCAACAAAAGTTCTCCAAGCCTGTTTTACCCCTCTGCTGCTGCTCCCCGCAATCCTCCCCCCTCCTCCCCTCTACCTCCTGCCCCCTCACCTCATTTACAAATTATCATTTCCTCAGCCCAATCGTTCTCAGAGTCTTACTTCCAAGTTCTCTATAGAGTCTTGATATCAATCTTCCAAAAAAGCTTCTCACTTGCTACTGTGCTCCAAGTTTCCTACCGTCCAAGCTTTGTTCTCGAGGCATTCTCCACTTATCTCACTCAAGTACCACTAGATTCTCATGGCCCGAGCTGATTATCCTTGTTTCTCTGAAGCCCTTCGTCTCTGGAAGAATCGGGATGCTCCCGTGCAGTCGCAGGTTCAACTCCCAGCTCTATCACCTTCCTGTTCGGCTGCAGAGGAGGAACCGCGGATTGAGGCTTCATGGGATTCCTTTGAGGCTGCAGAGGAGTCTTCCGTGGCTGCTGTGGGTTCCGTTGAGACGGAAGAATTCTCGTACGGGGCTGCAGGGTACTCCTCTGAAACCTCAGAGGAGTTTTCTGGAGCTGCGGATGACTTCCCTGTGCCTGCAGAGGCATCCACTGAGGCTCCGGTTGAACTGTCAAACAAGGACTTACGGATGGAGTGTGACAGGGTGAGTGTTGGCAGCATCGTCGCCAGCATGATTAACATGGTGGACGGCAGCTGCAAGACGCTTCTCAGCAGCAGCTTTGGTAACACGACGTGTCTCTACAGCAGTGAAGATTACGTGGACTACAGCAAAAGCTTCTGTTTTGGCGTGCCTTGGGCAGCAGTGACCAGAGAGGCCATCACTGCTGGTCACAGCAAGCTAAAAAAGGACAGCAATGGTGACTCGAAGCGGGAACCCAACCATGTCTTGAAGTCAGCAGCGGCTACAGAGCTGGCTTCAAGCAAGCGCTCAGTCTCGAGAATGGCATTGGCTAGCTTGAAGCTGCTGCCAACGCGCATTCCCAAGCCTGGCAACGCTCGTGCTCCTGCTTTGAATGCCGTTGCTGCAGAGCAGAGGAAGGTCCTGCTTGAATCAGTGTGTTCACGCATTCCCAAGCCTCGGAGCACACGTGCTCCTGCTGTGAAGAGCGTGGCAGTGGAGGAGAAGAAGGTTCTGCATGGGTCTGTGTGTTCTGACAATGGTACAGGATCCAAGGAACAAACCAGGAGGCGGCAGGTGACAGTTGACAGTGAAATCTGAGGGGAAGAAAGGCAATGTGAGGGTGACAAGGGTGGCTGCAGTGAGGCCTCCCTGGCGGCCTTGAAGACTGAGATGTGACAATAGGAGTGGTAAAAATATCTGGTGCGTGTGAATGCTTCTGGTGTGGCTGGCGGTATTGACAAGGTGTAGTATTGTAAAATACTTGCTTTTCGTGCTGTGTCTGGAACAAGTTATGCAACTGCAGCCAGGTTATCACATGAACGACTGTATTGTCAAAGACAAGCAACCAGTTTCAGTTTTGTCATTGCTTCATTTGTGTAGCCACCTCCCTTACCTCAGGATGAACTGAGTTTGTGATGAATGCAAAAGGCAGAAATGCTCTTTATTCTGGTGTTTTACAAACACATGCTCCCACTTGCACAGCTTGCACATCGTTGCAAAAATTCAGCACTGCATGTGCTTCACAAAGACACCAGTGCAGCACGACGTGGAGCCTACACTGTGCTACCATCCCCTGGCTTCAACACCCATGCAGCACCATTAGTGACACACAACTCCTTCAAAACCTGCTTGTAAAAAGGTCAAGCCAAACAAGAATAGCGGTGTTGAGCTTAAAAGGAAACAGTGGAGAAACCAAGGAGAAATGCAAGCAGTCGCGGTCCTTTGCAGCAGGGAGGAAGGCAGGCTCACCCGTTGGTACGTTGCAGCGGGCACTTGAGCTTTGAGTGCAATGCGCGTGGCCTCCACTATCTCTGTTCGCTTCAGCCCTACCCCCCCTGCGCCCTTGGCTCTCAGCAGCGCAATCACCACCTCCCTGTGGCATGCATTGGGACGGAGGGAGGGAGTGAGGGAAGAGGTTACAACACATTCTTTCAGGGGTTTTGAAAGGGTTGTGCATTTTAATTCACCCTTGCCTGGTAGATGCAGGAAAGCTGAGAAGGACACGGGAGAAGGCACATGATGGCAGCCAAAAGCAAAAAAATAAAAGAAACGAGAAAGCACACGAAGGAAATAGGACACAGGACAGAGCATGTGAAAGAGAAAGCGGAAAAGAAGAAAAAACATAAACTCAAAGAAAAGGGAGCACCTGAAGGGATCGACTTCTGGATCATTGAGTGTCGGGAGGAAGTATATTCCGTTGATGCTGGTGGCCACCTGCATGGGACACGGCACGCAGGCATGTGATTGGGTTAAGTTATGCAGGCAGAAAAGCAAGCAGGAAAGCAGGCAGGAAAGCAGGCAGGAAAGCAGGCAGGAAAGCAGGCAGGATCAAAAGGCACATGACAAAGGGCACTTGATAACTAAGAGGCTGTAGTAACCATGTAAGAGGATGGCACCATGTGACAATGTGAGATCATGTGGGAGTGTGCGACACAATGTGGGACAATTTGTGACAACGCAAGACAATGCATGACCAAGTTGTGTCAATGTGTGACAATGAGTGAGAAATGTGTGGCAATGTGAGACAATGTGAGACAATCAGTGAGAAACGTGTGACAATGGGAGACGAGTGAAGAATGTGTGACAATGTGAGATGATGAGTGAAGAATGTGTGACGATGTGAGACAATGAGAGAAGAATGTGTGACAATGTGCTGACAATGACAAGCGGGTCACAATGTGAGACAATCAGCTGACAATGAGAGACAGTGTGTAACAATGTGTCACAATCAGTAAAAACTCGTGAATGTGTGACACTGTGGAAGTGTGAGTCAATGTCTGTCAATGTGTGACAGATGAGTAACATTCAGTGACAATGTGAGCATGTGTCAGTGAGTGCATGCACGCCTGGGAGGAGATAGCTGCAGGAATAGTCGTAAATAGATGAACCACAGAATATTGTGATTCAAGTTTCGACAGTTCATCGCTTTCAAAGGACCAATCGAACGGAGGCATGCAATGCAATGTTAACGAGTGCATGAGTGAGCATGAACAAGCGAACCACAACGTGCAAGACCCCAGAAAGCACCTCTGAGACAGCTGACGCGAGCTCATTGGCGGGAGCTTTCGCAGCCTTGGCTGCCGCTACAGCCGCCGCTACAGCCTGAGGTGACGCCCCTGCCGCCCTTTGCTGCTCCTCCGCTGCTCGCTGCAGCTGCTGGCATAGAAAGGGCAGACTGGGAATTGTAGGGAGGGGTGGGAAAGGGTGGAAAATTATGGAGAAGGGTGGAAAAGGGTGCGGGTGACTTGTGAGAGAGCACCAAATCTCGTCTCATGCAGAGGATGGATGGATGTGTCTACCAAGAGGAGCGAGTCAAGACTCAAGAGCCATCCCAGCCGTGCAAGGAGCAGGGTCACATCACATCACATGTATCTACCTGCACACGTGGTGTTGGGCGAATATCTACCTGCACACGTGGTGTTGGGGGAATATCTACCTGCACACGTGGTGCTGGGCGAATATCTTCCGTAGAGCACCGGGAAGTGCCTCCCGTGTTTCGGCGCTCAAGCTCTGCCCCACAGCTCCTATTGTGCCTCCTGCTGCTCCTCCTCCCCCTCCCCCTGCTGCTGCAGCTACTACTGCAGACGCTGCTGCACCTGCTGTCCCTGCCACAGCACCAGCCTGCAAGCTCGGACCGCCCGAACCTCTTCCCAGACCTGCTCCTCGCCCCGCCAAACCCGCCCCTCGTCCTGCCAAACCTGCCCCACGGCCTGCCAGACCAGCCTTGGGCGCTCCCAAGCCTCCCCCAGGCCCGGCCCTGCCTCCCCCGCCCCTACCTGCCCCTCCCCCACCAGCAGCAGCCTTGGCCGCAGCAGCGGCTGCCGAAGCTGCTGCCACGT